TAAGTATTTTCATTTTGAATTTGCTTTGCAAACTTCCTAAAGACCTTAAAAGCTTCACTTTTCAATGTTAAGAAAAATGTCCAAGTATATCTAGAAAAGTCATCAACAATCACAAGAGCATAATAATTTCCACCAAAACTTTTTATCCTAGAAGGACCAAATAAATCTAAATGTAATAATTCTAAAGGTTTGGATGTGGAAATAACATTTTTTGACTTGAATGATGATTTTACTTGTTTACCTTTTTCACATGCATCACATATTCTATCTTTTTCAACTTTTAACTTAGGCAAACTAATAACTAAGTCCTTTGAAATCAATTTGTTTAAATGATGCATATTTATATGAGCCGCTCTCTTATGCCATAACCATGGGTTCTCTTCCTTAGCAGTTAAGCATGTTATACTAATATCATATATACTTTCCAAATCAATCAAATATTTATTATTATGCCTAATGCCTTTCAAAGCTACTTTTTCGGAATCTATCAAATGTATGGTACAAAACTTACTTTCAAAGATTACCTTAAATCCTTTGTCACATAGTTGACTTATACTTAGGAGATTATGCTTTAGCCCATCAACAAGAAGCACATCCTTTATCTCCAAAGTGTTTGCACCACCTATATTTCCAATTCCAAGAATCTTTCCTTTGTTGTTGTCCCCATAGGTTACATATCCTTGTTCTTTAGCTTTGAAACTTACAAATTTTGTTTTGCCACCGGTCATATGTTTTGAGCATCTACTATGAAGATACCACATAGACTTCTTTGATTTGGAAGTTTTCTACAAAACAAGAACATAGTAAACTTAGGTCCCCATAACTTTTGGGTCCTTGGGGTTAGAGACAAACAATTCATTTAACTAAAGGAACCCAAATATATTTTCCTTTAGGAACACCAAAATGTTTAATTTTACATCTATTTGAAGTATGACCATGTTTCATACAATAAAAACATGCTTTAGATGTAGCTTTTGAATATGATACATTTCTAACATTAGATGCTTTAGTTCCTTTTTCAACCCATACTCTTTTATTTTTCACTTTAGGCTTTTCAAAGGAACATGATGGTTTTCTCTATTTTGAGCAATAACAACTTTATCCTTATTATTACTTATTTCCTTCTTGGCTTTATCAAGCAAATGATTAAGTATATCAATGTCATATTCATACTCTTTACATGATGCACATGCTATATTCTTATCATCTTTTTCATCTATACATACAATTTTCGTTTCTAAGGTTTCCTTTTCCTCTAAACATGCAATTTTCGTTTTTAAGGACTCCACATCCTTTTCGGATCTATTTAAACTCTTTTTCACAGCTTTGTATTCATTTTTCAAGTCCTTAAAAGCATTAAACAATTCTTCATAAGCATTTTGTAATTCATCAAAATTATTTTCATCATCACTTGAAGATGAGTCGGAATCACTTACCTCAAAATCGGAAGATATATTGTCATTTGCCATTAAACAAATATTAGCTTCTATTTTCGAATCACTTGACTCTGAACTCGAATCACTATTGTCCCAAGCAATGTAGGCTTTCTTCTTGAAGAACTTTTTGCCTTTGTTATCTTCATTTTTCTTGTTTGTGTTAGGATCGAGCGCTTACCACTAGGCCAAAAGCTATAGCCATTAGTCAGAGTGCAACTCTTTTTACTTTAATAGCCCAAGCACCACGATTCAATTGTGACTCGGTCCACCTGACCTTTGTCACAGGACAATTGATGCTACCTGCAACAATAAGGGGGAGATTGTTGAACATTCAACAGTTTGGACATTCGGTATTCACATGTCCTGTTTCACCACAACCATAGCATTTGATATTTAAGGAAGTATTTTCTCTTACCTTTCCCTTATCTTTGAATGGATGCCTTCCTTTGGCTTTCATGAATTTGGTAAATTTCTTAATCATGAGACTCAATTCTTCTTCATCATTCTCCGAGTCTTCTTCTTCCTTTTTACTCTTACCTTTGGAAATTTCAGTTTTGAAGGCTAAGTTCCTCTTTTGGTGTTGACCTTCTTCATCATTTAGTCTTCCTAGTTCTAGCTCATGCTCTCTCAACTTTCCAAAGAGCGCCGCCATAGACATTGTGGCAAGGTTTTGTGATTCTGAGATGGCCGTCACCTTAGGTTCCTATCCAAAGATTTCAAGATTTTTACGTTTAATTCATCAACATAAAAAATTTTACCTAATCCGGTGAGATGGTTCACAATGTGTGTGAAACGCTTTTGAACGTCAAATATCGTTTCTCCTTGTTGCATTCGGAACATCTCATATTCTTGGATTAGAGAATTTTTTCGTGCTCTCTTAACGTCATCGGTACCTTCGTGGGTCACTCTCAACATTTCCCACATCTCTTGAGCACTTTTACAAATGGAGATTCTGTAAAACTCATCAAGGGTTACCGCAGATGAAATAATATTTCTAGCCCTAACATCAAATTGATCTTTTCTATTTTCCTTCGCCGTCCATCTAGAAAATGGTTTAGGAACATCTACTCCGTTTCAGAAACATTAGGAAATAGCGTCCCAAACACCTCTATCAATAGACTCTAAAAATATTTGCATTCTAACTTTCCAGAAAGGATAATTTTGACCCACAAAAAGTGGGGGTCTATTGATAGAAGCACCCTCGGCAAAAGTTTGATTTTGTCCGGCTATTTTCGAAAAATTGAATGTCTATCAAAGCAAGCTCTGATACCGCTTGTTAGAATTGCGCAACAGAATGTTTGCGTGAACGGACAAAAAAAACAAGAGGGAGGTGAATTGGTTTCTTAACAAAAATTAGGTTTTAAAACTTTTCCCCAAATTTTACCGATTAAAATGTTGTGTAAACGTAAATATAATAAGGATAGAGTCTTACACATAAGATTTATACTGGTTCGGATTAAAAGACCCTACGTTCAATTGCTAATCACTCAAACATAGGATTAACACTGTCACTATAATCAAGTTTTACAAACAGATAACAATTGAAAAGATAAAGTAACGAAACCACCTCTCTTGAGTCACACAAGAGATGAAGAAAAACTTTCCCTAGAGACAGCACAACACACAATCCACCAAGAACTCCACTTAGTGATTCTTATCGCTTCTAGCCCACACTAGGTTCCAAAAGCCCCTTGTTCTGGCTATCTAAAGAGTAGACTATGTGCTGGCTATCTTAGACTCTAATAGTACAGACTCAAAATCATCAAAACAGAGTTATTACACAAGAATACAAGTCTTCAACTCTCTAAGTCCATTGTTCTTGAATCATCATCAAAATCGACAAGCTTCATGTCCATGTAAGTTCAACATTCATGTCCTTGTATGTTTCAACATCACCATCATACCTTAGTACACTTGTCCCTTCCTTATCGCGAAGGTCACAAATGTGCTCGGGGCCTCTTTCGCCATTGTCTTAGGGATATCTCGTGCTCCCTAGAATGAATGTATTTATGCATGCACCAGTACAAAAGGGCAATAGATGTTCAAAGTGGCATAACTTTTGACTGAGATGTCCGATTTGGATGCACAACATATCAAAACGAAGAGAAAAAGGGGAAGAATCAGGTTGTAAATACCCAAAGGGGATTTGGCCCAGTAATTTTCCCAACAAACGCTTCTAAGACCCATTTTTTAGGGATTTATTAAAATGATGCGTATGCATACTCTCCTTATGCATTTATTTTCTTAGTTTTTCCACTTATGGCATGATGCGATATGAATGATACGACTTTGTCAAAATTCTTTTTATAAATGTTTTGATTTTGTTATTATTATTTTTTTTATTTTTTTGTTTTTTAGCCTTTTATCTCTTCTGTCAGACTGCGTGGCTACTTAGCTTACAAAGAACCTTAAACCAGGCTAGTTAAAAGGCGGACTGTCCGAGATAAAAATGGTTATTGCGAAAGACAAATTTTAGCGTCCCTTATCTCTTCTGTCAGACTGCGTGACTACTTAGCTTACAAAGAACCTGAAACCAGGCTAGCTAAAAGGCAGACTGTCCGAGATAAGGGTGTTTATTGTGAAAATATTTTTTTTAAGATTTTGTTTTATATATAGATATTGTATGATTATGTTATGCAACAATCAAATGCAACAAACAAATGCACAAACAATTCACTCATCCACGAATAGAGTGACGTTTAATTACGAGGTAGGGGTTTCCTGCAGAAAAGTGCATTGGCAAAGGCAGGTTCTAACTGTTCTCACCAAGGTCAGACCCCCAAGGTGCCCCCATTATAGGGACCCTTAAATCTCCCAGTTTTCGAACCGTGCACGGATGTCTGTGTCGATGTTTTTAGACCGAGGAAAGAAGGTTATCACCTTGAGTGGTGGTTGCCGACAACGACCTGCTGACAAAGACATGTATAAAAAAGTAATGACAGTCGATGATAATTCAAACCAATATAATGGGGAGAGGGATTACGTGTAGAACGAATACCTTTTCGGAGGGCAATGGGAAGGTCAGACTCATGTGTAATATCCGGAGGAGACAGAGTAGTTGGCACTTGAGTGGAGTCACATGGTGGTGGTTGTGATTGGTTTCGACAACTATAAATCTGAAGAGGCAGTGGAGAAGAAGCTAACTGCGGAGCAGGAACTAATGGTGAAGAAGACACAGTTAGAGGGTCACAAACAACAGGAACATTAAATGTACTAGGAGTGTTGACAAGATTGGATGGAGACAGAGGTGAAGATTAACTTTTAAAATAAAGAGACAACTCAGCAAAGGTGACATCTGCAGACACAAAATAACAGTTAAGAGAAGGAGAAAAACATTTGTATCCTTTTTGTGATCTTGTAAACCCTAAGAAAACACATTTATGTGATCTAGGAGAAAGCTTGTCAAGACCAGAACTGAAATTATGAACAAAACATGTAGACACGAAAACTTTCAGAGGTAAAGGATGAAGTGGTTCATGAGGGAATAAAATGGAATGAGGTATTTTATTATCTAAAACCGAAGAAGGCATGCGATTAAGGATGGAGAAGAAATTTGGGATGTAGAATGAAGTTAAGGAAGCAGAAGAAGTTAAGGAGGATGGAGAAGAAGTTAGGGAAGGAGAAAAAGTTAAGAATTAAGAACAAGTTAGGGAAGGAGAAGAAGTTAAGGATGGAGAACAAGTTAGGGAAGCAGAAGAAGAAGTTAAGGATGAGAAGTAGTCTGGGATGGGGAAGAAGTGAGTGAAGGAGA